ATTAAGGACTAAATGTGTACAAAAATATTAAGGACTAAATGTGTACAAAATGAGAAATATATTACCCTATTAAGACATATTTACCGGTTAACCTGAAATAACCGGTCATAAGGACTGAATGTGTACAGTTTAACAAGTTGAAGGGGTAAATGTGAACAAAAAATAAACTCAGTGACCAAATGTGTACAAATCAAAGAATATATTACCCTTTTAAGTCATTATCCCACAGTAAAATTGATAGTTATATGGCAGAATTTCTTAAAATTTAACTAGTTTTTATAAAAACTAAAACAAAAAAAAAACTATTTTTTTGTCATTTTCTGAAAAAAAAATTAATAGATTTTGTTATTTTTTTTAAATATTGTTTGCTGAATCGAAACAGGTCGGTAGAATATAAATGGGCTTTTGAAACTTTTTAACAGCCCAATCCCAGATGAGTAACACAACACCAGACACGTGGTTTCAGGGCATCTGACTTTTGAAAAATTTATTCCGATAAACGACTAATTTTCCGATAACTTTTTATTTTTATGGACACGTGGCAACGAATGAACGGGACACACCACTAACCACGACTCATCATATGCTCTTAGACCGACCTTCCAGAAAGTTCTTGTGAATTCGTGGCTCGGAATAACCCAACCCATCTTCCGGCTGATATTACGCCACGTGGACAGACACCAACTTGAACATCCAACGTGGCACCCCCTTCCCTCTGAAATTGATACGCCCCTCCTTTTATTCGCATACTTCGATTTAGGGCACTTTCTAGAAATTAACTTCCAATTCTTCTAAGATTCTAACTTCGAAGACGTTAGAGAAAGAACATCAGTCATACACATTGTCTGCTTTAATCTTGTTGATTTTTGGGGTTTGTAAAGGTGAGTTTTAGTTAGGGTTTTGGAAAATTAGATATGAATGTTGAAGGCGATGATGATATGAAAATGGAGATGAAGGTTGACGAGAAGTCAGTGTATATGTGGGGGTATTTACCTGGAGCGTTACCTCAACGGTCACCGATATTGTCGCCGGTGGAAGTTAGACTCCCGCAGTCAATTGACGCTGGTCAACTCTGGTCGGATGTCTGTGGCGGCGGTTGTGGATTTGCTATGGCCATTTCAGGTTGGGGTTCTTGATTCACTCTTCTCTTGGAACTTCATATTTACACGAGTCTCAAAGCTTTTGAGATAATTTGGATAGCTAAGGGAAAGGTCTAATTTTGTAAAATTTTCCATCTTATTCTAAATTGAACTCATTTGCTATGGAAAGTCAAAATGTACACCCATTTGGGTACTGAGGGGTGTAGGAAATCTGGAATGTCTTCTTGCTACATTTCATATTAGCTCCGATACATCTAAACTCACTTTTAAATTTCACACCTTTGGCAATCGTTTTCCTTACTGTCCTGTCCTTTCTTCAATCAGACACAGGGAAGCTGATTACATGGGGTTCAACAGATGATCTTGGTCAGAGCTACGTGACATCAGGGAAACATGGGGTACTGAAACACATCTTGATATCTATTCGTCTGTTTATTAAGTTTCTTTGTGAAAGAAGAGAAGCTAATGCTCAGTTTGTTTACTTGTTTTTGTTAAGGAAACACCAGAACCTTTCCCTCTTCCAAAAGAAATTTCAATAACAAGAGCTGCAGCAGGTTGGGCACATTGTGTCTGTGTAACAGGTGCAGGAGAGGTTTATACATGGGGATGGAAAGAGTGTGTACCTTCTGGCAAAGTTGTTGGAGACCCAAACAGTAGTCAAAGCCAAGAGAAAGACATATTTGAGAGACAGAATCCGTTCTTGACAGAACAAGGTACTATACTGAGCCCACGCTCCGGGGGATCAAGATCCAGTGGTGTAGATGGTAAAGCAGTTGGAGATGAAAGTACAAAAAGAAGACGTGTATCATCAAACAAACAAGCAGTTGAAAGTTCATCTTCTGGTGATGAACCTCTCTCAGCTTTGCCCTGTTTGGTAGCATTGAGTCCAGGAGTAAGGATAGCAACAGTTGCAGCTGGTGGGCGACACACATTGGTATTATCAGGTAGGAATTTTGTAACAACATATAACATTATTATGATACAGAGAGTAATAAATATTATTGCTTAATGTATTTATTGTAACTTGGTTGTGTGAAGTTTCAGATACAGGACAGGTGTGGGGTTGGGGGTATGGAGGTGAGGGGCAGCTAGGTTTGGGGTCCCGCATAAGAATGGTGTCTTCTCCACATCCTATACCTTGCATTGCTTCATCTTCAGTAGGAAAAGATAGAAGAGAAGGACAGGGGTATAGAGCACCTGGAAGTTATATTAAAGGGATTGCTTGTGGAGGAAGACACAGTGCTGTAGTCACAGGTAAGGTTTCCAAAAGATTATTAATTCAATATTTCCAATTACACTATCTATAATTATTACTGAGTTCTATGCGTGCATGTATGTACAGATGCTGGAGCATTAATGACTTTTGGTTGGGGACTATATGGACAGGTGACATCACCTTCCTTTTGCCTTTTGTGTTATTTTGTTTTTATGGTCTTTAGATTCTTTGTTTTTGTTTGGAAGGCATCCATCATTCTAATATTTTATATAAATTAAATCACATTAGTTGTATTGTGAGTTTTCTCAACTGATAGTGAGTGAATCTGAAAAGACTTAATTGACTAGGAGAGCCCTAATTGATTTTCTTCAGGTACTTGCTTTATTTTGTCAATTTAAAAATACAAGTTAGGTAATAGATAATGTTGTCTATGTTAGGGACTTGTTCCGAAATATTGACTTGCTTTGATGCATGGACATGTAGGTAAAGTAGAAATGATGAAGAAAAAGCAGACCAAATGTTCACAAGATGAAAGAAGGCGATAAAAACATTACATACAATTTATTTAATCATATTCTGTTTTGTGACTAACTCATTTGATTTGAGACAGTTACATATTTTTGCATATTCTAACCCATGATCACATCTTGTAGTGTGGGCAAGGAAGCACAGATGATGAACTGACCCCTTCATGCGTATCATCATTACTTGGTATCTCAATAGATTCAGTGGCTGCAGGCCTCTGGCACACAATCTGCATCTCATCAGATGGTGATGTCTACGCTTTTGGCGGGAACCAATTCGGCCAGTTGGGTACAGGAACTGATCAAGCTGAGGTAACTAACTTTCTCAACATGTCCCAGATACTTAATTTTTCTCAAAAAGTTTGACCTAATTGTATGAAATACTGTCTGTTTTTTTGTTAGACATTGCCACGTCTTTTGGATGCTCCAAGTCTTGAAAACGAACAGGCAAGAGTCGTATCTTGTGGGGCTCGTCACAGTGCTGTTGTTACAGGTACTGTAAAACTGTAAGAGTAATTTAAAAAAAATATGGCTGGATGCTTAAGTTATTGAATTTTTTTATTTTGATGAAGATGGGAAGGTGTTCTGTTGGGGATGGAATAAGTATGGGCAGCTTGGAGTTGGTGATGTAATCGACCGGAATATTCCATCTGAAGTTAGTCTACAAGAAGGGTGTGTGCCCAGGGTGGTTGCGTGTGGCTGGTGGCACACACTTTTGCAAGCTCAATCCATGACTTGATGGGCTTTGATTTATGTGTTCAAACTTTAAAGAAGGTGGAAAGTGGAAACAGTTTTGTTAGGTGGTTAGTTGGTGTTTTATTGGAAAGAAAGAGGAGGGAGTGTACATGTATATGCTGCTACTCTGCATATATCAGCATATGTACATATACATACAATACAATAGTCTGTTGTCTGTTGTTTGCATCACGATTGTCGTCAATCGCCAATTGCCATCATCATTCTTTAGACTTTAGAGAGAGGAGAGGGTTTGAGGGTTTCTTGATTGATTCTTGCGTTACTACTGTATATATATCTCTCAATAAAACTTAATGCAAACCTAAGTATTTCCAGCTGCACCAATTGCCTCTTTCTCTATCATATTTGCTTTTGATTTGCTAGAAACTACTCCCGTGGTCGGTTATCAAAATTGTGTTTACCAATTCATGGAGCTTTGTGTTTTTTTAACTTCCAGTGCAGATCCTAAAGAGTTTGAAATGTTTCTATAAAAAAAAAAAAAAAAATTTATATCCAATAACTGCTTTTCAGAAAACAAATTTGTAGCTTAGTTACGTCCCTCAAGTGCCATGCACATAACATAAAAGCACCATATTCATGATGGGGATATTCATTATAAACCCAGAAAGTAGAAACATAAACAACCCACAAACCAAAAATCTAAAGGTAATATCAAATCACTTAGACGGAAAATCACAAATGAATGTGTGTTCATATGTAGAAAATCTACAAACCTACATAATGTTGTCCGTTCATCACTTTTCTTAATACACCAAGACAATTCCAAGAATTATGACCAAATGTTCCTCAAATCAATGTAAGAAATCTCTCCTGAGTGAGAAATCCAAAACCAATCAACTTTTTCTTTGATTTCTGAAACAAGATTACAAGACGTTATACCCCAAAACTTCTTATTTCCTTGAACCCAGATGGTCCACTGTGAGACCCAGAAGACATTGTCACATTAAGACTTGGAATCCAATTCAATTTCGCTGATTGAATTGTAGAATCAAGATCAACACCAACTACTTCATTATTGATTATACCCAAATCCATATACAACATCGAAGCTATAATTGAGATCGTAGACCAAGATGGGAGTTTGAATTTCTGCAACTTGATTCAAAACAGTCACCAAAAGGTCAGGTGAAGTTCCAATTTGCTTGAATAGTGGTAATTAAGTAAAGAAACTGTTTCATCCGCTATATATAGCCATATGAAAACAAATATTGACATCAAAATCCTATCAATCAAATTAATGATAGGTTCTCATTCCTTTAAAAAAATAATTGCAATTGTGTTTTACTTTTGGGGCTATAACGAATTAACGATGGTGTTATGGTTTTGAAAGAAGTGCAGAATAGAATAGAATAGAATATGTTGGATCTCTCTCTTTTATTCTTGAAATAAGAGAATGAATCCAATGCATAGAGATCACCTCCACTTTCCATATTTGTTGTTGGATATATCAACTGGCCTCCATTTCCAAAACCACCTATTCTTTTCTATCCCAATTAAGCTTCCATCGTACAGAAAACGATACCATGCATCAATTCCAAGCTTGTAAATTACAAATCCATTAGCAATTAGCCTCGGTACTCCCCTACCGCCCTACGGATACACCTGCCCAAAGACTCTGCAACAGCACCAATTTCGGGACATTGGTCTCATTCCATGTACGAATCACCATCCTACAAATACTTGAATAAACCACTTGCTTTTTATTTCTTATAACCAACCAATTCAACTTCCATTATTAATTAAAATGACAGTTACCTTGTTGATGCTAATGGTGGTGTTGCTAGTCGACACCGGTTGTGCCACAAATACAATCGAGTACCTCTGCCCAAATTGCGGGACGACTCCAGTCCCGTATCCCCTCAGCACTTCTTGGACGTGCGGTCAACCCTCATACCGGCTCCGGTGTGAAGGAGGTGTGTTGAAGTTTGATACGCTAATTGATAACTACACTTACCCGATCATATCTATCTCCCCGGAAAACCAGCGTCTAGTGATTCAGCAACCATCGACTATTTTACCAAACACCTGCGTCAGTGTCACCCATGGCATCCGGTTAAATACCTCTTTGCCCTTCACCATCACCTCCAGCAACACTCCTTTCTTCTTCAACTGTTCAAATACAACGGCGTTACCTGCTGCTACTGCGTTAGATTGTACCACAACCAGCCCTTGCCGGGCCTACCAGAATGGCTCGGCTAAGATGTCTGCATGTGGTCAAACAGCACCGACTTGTTGTTCCTTAAAAAACAGCACACAGACAGGGTTTGATTTTGTTTCGCTTGCTATGGAACATTGCGGGGCGTATACAAACTTCGTGAATCTGAACCTCTCGTTGCCAATTAGTAGGTGGCCGGATTCTGCTGTGGAGTTGATGTGGGCGCTACCATCGGAGCGGCCATGTCAAACGCAAACGTGTTGCGATTCGACCTATAACTCTGTTTGTAGGGACGATGGAGACGGCTCTCTAAGGTGCTACTGTAAACCTAAATTCCGGTGGGATGGTCTCGCCGGCCGATGTGTTTCAGGTAATTAATGATATATCCCAGTTCGGATTTAACTTTTATCATTCCAGAACAAAAACTAATAAATTATTGTTGCAGATCTTATAAGCGTCAGATCAAAACAGATCAAACTCGTGGCAGCTACAACATGCAGTGGCGTGATACTGCTTCTATTGGTTGTATTCGCGACAGTAATGATCATCCGTTATAATAATAGAAGTAAAGCAGAACAACGTCTTGCACGAGATCGTGAAGAGATAGTATCATCGGGAGACAGTGGAAAATCATCCAAGGTCTTCACGAGTAAAGAGATCAAAAGGGCGACAAATAACTACTCCTCCAAGGGTCTTCTTGGTGTTGGCGGTTTTGGTGAAGTGTATAAAGGCGTACTGGATGACGGAACCGAGGTGGCGGTTAAATGTGCAAAACTTGGAAACACCAAAAGCGTTGACCAGGTCCTAAACGAGGTTCGAATCCTTTGTCAAGTCAACCACAAGAACCTCGTACACCTCCTAGGTTGTTGCATAGGAAAGAAGGAACCGTTGTTGGTGTATGAGTATATTCCAAACGGAAGCCTTCATGATCACTTGCATGACAAAAATAAAATACCCTTAACTTGGCCTCAGCGACTAGGGATCGCACGTGACACTGCCGAGGGGCTCTCGTATCTCCATTTCTCTGCTTCTAGACCTATTTATCACCGCGATGTGAAGTCTAGCAACATCTTACTCGATGAAAATATGAAAGCCAAGGTTGCGGATTTTGGTTTATCCAGACTGGCTCATACGGACCTAACCCATGTGACAACTTGTGCACAGGGGACATTAGGGTACTTGGATCCTGATTATTATTGGAACTATCAGTTAACTGATAAGAGTGATGTGTATAGTTTTGGAGTACTATTATTAGAAATACTTACATGTCAAAAAGCTATAGACTTTGGTAGAGCGACCGATGATGTAAACTTGGTTGCTTATGTTAAACGGATGGTGAATGAGGAACGAATGGTGGATGTTATTGACTCTATGCTCAAGAATCCTGCTACGTCGTTGGAAATTGATTCTATGAAAGCGTTAGGGTTTCTTGCGATGAGTTGCTTGGAGGAAAGAAGAGAAAATAGACCTTCTATGAAGGAGGTATCTGAGGAGATCGAGTATATCATGGGTGTCATAGCAGTCATGGTGTGAAATCATCGTCAAGATAGGTAGGTATCACCATGTTATTAAAAATTGTAACCGTTCATTAAAAGTTGTATGTTGTGCATCATTAAGCCATTAACGATTACGTTTTTTTTTACGCCCCTTCTATTTCTTAAATACACCTTACTCTAAAATTCTTTGAAGAGTATTAATCATTAGTTAATTATGATATGGTTGTGACTAACTTTAAGCATGGTCATTGTTTTTTTTTTTCAACCATGTATATTTAATTGCCCATTTTACATAAATACTAATATACAACCAACTTGTATTGCTTTCCCACTAAGACAAAAATGAACAAATAAACATCGATTACATAGCTTTTGTCTACTCATCAAATCATGCATAAACTTCCCTATTATGACCACCAGTTACGGATAGTGTTTGAGTAAGACTAATACACAAGCAACTTGTATCCAAAAAACTCAAATGTCTCTTCGTGTCAAGAATAAAAGATATTATTGTCTCAAAATTACTCGTGATATAACCTATGAAGTAATCTCTCCAAACGTATGTTTCTCAAATACTTAAATCACTATTAAGCATTCATGAACGTTAGCAGCAATCTCCATGCAATATCTAATTACTATAGGCAATTTACCAATATTTCACGACAATCTTAATTCAATACTTACTACTAAGAGTATCATCGATTGTGGAGTTTGAGTAAATAAATACTCGGGAAGTGGGGATCTAAACATTCAAAAACAAAATAGAATAATAAATTAATTGTAATGGTATCACACTTGAACATACATAAATCTTTATTATTTAATCACCATACCAATTACAAAATTTATTTCATTGTTCTAAATGTTTCAAATTAATCAACTAACTACTAAACTTTACATTGTCTCTCATGTTTATGCTTCTAGCATGCATACTATGGCTTTCCTTGGTCATCCATTTTATGAATGGATCAACTGAATTCTCCTTTGATGATACCCACTTCAGAAATAGATCTCCATCATCAACTCTATCTCGAATGTATTGGTATTTCCTCTTTATATGCCTCGACCTTCCGTGATCCCTAGGCTCTTTAGTCAGAGCAATTACACCTTCGTTATCACAAAATGTCTCCAATGGATCTTTGTTACTCGGAACAACTCCAAGGTCTCCTATGAAGTTTCTGATTCAGGTAGCTTCCTTGGACGCTTCACTTGCAACAATATATTCAAAGTCGCATGTAGAGTCTGCCACTATCTCCTGCTTGGAATTTTTCTATGTCACCACACCACCATTCAAAGTCTTGAACCTCTTAGATATCACCACTATTGTCTGAAGCTGTGGAGCCTTCCTTTTCCCCTTGAGCTCCAACTCAATCTCTCGTTTCCGGGCCGAATCGATCATCTCATCTAATGTTTTATAGGTCGTTATACTCACAAACTCCCTGATGTCGGTCCTTAGCATGTCATAATACCTCGTCATCTTCATCTCCTGACCTGCATCGTATTGTAGAACCGATAACGCTCTCTCCTTGAACTTGGTGGTAATCTTCGCAACAGTCTCCGTAGTCTACTGAAAGCCTGAAGCTCACGCGACAAGTATTGTACCTCGATCGTCGGTACATACTCCGCCCTGAACCTGGTAACAAAATCCACCCAAGTCATACTCTCCGTTGCCTCTGGTCCAAGAGCCCAGACCACATCGCCGCACAAATCACGCGCTTCATCACACAAGAGAAACACATCAAACCTGACCTTTACCCCATCAGGATAAAACTCGTCGCAAAGGGATCTCCATATCGACAATCCAACACATACTCGCAATGGGCTCATTCTTCCCGAACAAATCAGTAGCCCTACAAGTACAAAACTCCCGAAAAGAGATCTTGCGAGTCTTGGGCTGTATAGCCGCCAAATCATCCCGAATGGTTATCAGTTGCTCATCCGTCATAACTACAAGCCCGTCCTTGATCGTGCCCAACATACCCGACAGATCCTCTATACCGTCCCAAAATGTGACAACCGTCAAATTTCGGTCAATTCAAAGTCAAACAAAGTCAACAAGTCAAACCGGTCAACTCC